TCTTATTGGAGTCACATTTAATTAAAGCGTTCTCGCATGATTCGCGTGAATTCACAGAAGTGCAATTTATGTAGCTGCATAGCGGCCCACGAATTTTAATAAAATTCCTGTTTCTTTTGCTCGTGTTTTCACGCACTTTGCGGCAAGCTGCGTATTTCATTTTGAATGGCCTGCTACTGTTCTCCTCGACGTTCGTTCGCATATTTGCATACCCGTAACTCCGTGACGATTCTGGCAGAGAAGTTGCGTTTTAAACTTTGAGACTGTACGATTGCGCAACACGTCCTTCGCGGCTCATTTTCACCAGCGTCTATTGAAACGGTAAAACGCTCGCGACTTGGATAAGATGGTCACGTCGATTTTCTAGCTTCGCGAGCAACATTTCGCCCTGTTGTCCATCGACCGTCCAATTATCGACTTCGTGTCCAAGCCAGAGATTTTGAAGCGTTCCAAGAGACAGCCACGTCGAACAAGGTACGAAAGTTCCCGCGTTATCTGAAATCTCATTTCAGTGTATCGCTTCTTCTGCTATTTCATCGCGTGAATCGCCGCTATAATTACAAGAAGTGAAAGGAAGTTCTTTTTCGATGGACAATGGACAACAGGAAAGCCGTGTAAATCGTTATTCTTGTCGCGCGCGAGTCGCATACTCAAACGGAACGATTACGCTGATAGTTGTACAAATTGCTCTACAAACATAACTGCAATTATACGTTCACGCCTATTAAGTTCTATCGGTGTTCTTTGTATAAATGCACGTCGATTGGCTTGCACGTTCATCGTGGAACTCCCGCAGGGTATCGCAAAGACAGCTTACAATTCAATTATATCAAGCTATACGTTCTCACGTGGCGTGTTGGCTTAATGCTTTCTCGCTGCGGATAATTAAATTAACGAACTAATAAAAGCAAGACGTGCCCAAACCCATGAGAATCACGATAGCTTCATCCACCCATTAAAATCAACTTTCCAAACTTTTCTAATAAATTCTGTAAATTTTTAATACGTCCGTTTGTTACGGAATTTCGAATGTTCCCCTGATTTATGACCCGGCGACAGACTCGCGCTATTTTTTAGAGAGAAAACTTAGCACTTAGGAGGAGTAAGGACTTGTTGGCACATTAAAGCCAGAGAATCGGATTACCCGTTATATCGGTGCGCGTTTCAATAACGTACATACAGCATGCCATGAGCCATGATACAGTCTTTCAATGAAAGTAGAAAAATTTAAACAAAATGCTTGCTCCACGCAGAATTAACAAACGATTATTATTAACAATTTGCCGCAACCTTGAGATCCAAAAACTTCTGAAAGGGGAAGGGGAAACGAAAGAGTCGAAGATCCCATTTTCTATTGGCTCGGTAAGTAGAGAACTCATCTGAGACATTGGTAAAGGACAGTTCACTTATCAGAAAGACACCGTTTGACTTTCAATTGATACAAATCGTCTCCTGAGCATTCTCCGACAATCCGAGGATCCTTTAACAGTATAATCTGTTAATAGATATAAAATCATGGTCTTCATTCTGTTTCTACAACAAATTAGCGCAATGCGTGCGAATACTGTTCCATAACGAGATCCCACGGTAAATTCTTTATATGTTATTATTGGGAAACTTGTCCTCGTGTGTATAAATTTGTGAATAATGATTGATTCGTTCTGACAATCTGCCGCAGCTTTCAAGAGAAATTAGGTTAAGTTGAAGAAATTTGGTAAAATAAAAAGTGTAGGAAATGGGTTTCTGACTAATCGTGTTTTGACGAGATTCAGCGAGTATATCGCTGATACATTGATCAATTTTGTACTATGCAGTCAAAAAGGTTACTTATCTTAAACATAAAGATAAGTAAATGGAGATAAATCTTATCCGCAATTTTTTTCATATACAGGAAATGAAAATATTATACACCAATATTTCTATACAATCACCTTCTGCAAAATATAGAATACACGATTATTTATAAAATTACAGTTATTTGTAGAAATAAATACAAGTATATAATTTAATATATTAATTTCAACTACCATACAATATTCGTTCCATTTATTCCAGATTGAATAAAATGTTCTCTTCATGAAACAAATGAATTACCAAGTGCCTTTCATTGTCGCTAAAATTTACATGACTCGAAAAATCGAGTGAAAAATATAATACTGAACCGCGTTCGATATTTTCGTTTCATTTTCCATCAAAAGTAAATATGATTTCTCGGTTCCGATGAACTCGTCGCTGTGCCCAGAGAAACAGAAACGCGTCGATTCATTTTTCTTTTTTATTGCTACGTTTCAGAATTTTTCGATGAAAAGTTTTGACGCATTGTCGCTAAAAATTCTGTATCTCTTTAGAAGAAAGTGATATAAAACGGCTACACTTTAATTGCACCAACAATGCAGATGGTATTCTCTATGCGGATATGATTAAAGAATAATATTCTTGGATTTAACTTTTCTCCTGTTTATTCTTCGCCACGTGTAATACTCGCTATGTGTAATAATCACTTTAATTAACGTAACATAATTAACATACTGTAAGTTGGAATGAATTAGAAGCAATAAGAAGCGACCCAGCCATGTATGCAAATTACTACCGAGTAGAACAATACAGTGCAACTTCCTCGTCTTAATAAACCGTCTACTGTATAATATTTCATCTCGCAAGTAATGCAATAATAAAATTTATGCCGTCAGAATATACAGCTATTAACAAAACGAGGAAAAAATCCACTAATCAGTTTTGACTCAGCGAACTCAGTAGACTCGACGAAAAATTAAGATGCCTCTTCACTCGCCGTTTTGCTCGTGTTTGCACGTTTTGTTAATACCGCTGTTTTTCAATGCGATTTCTTCTTCCTGGTACGAGACAAGAGACTAATCAGATCCTCTCGCTGGGGAAAATTTATTTTCCTTTCGGCAGCACATCTTCGTCTATTTCGTTCAATCTCGTAGAAAACAAAAATGTTGGTTACAGCAACAGAGCGAAACGCACATATAAAACCTAGGAAATTAGAATTTCATTCGTTATTCGGACAAAAATGTTTAATTAGCCCGAATAATCGTGCTCGATCATTTAGAGTATATCTTGTTAACACGTATCTACCGATATCAAGTAAATCCAATCTTGAACAAAACATTAATCAATTGCGTAATCTCGAATACCTTCGCACAGCCTCGCTAACGTTTTCAACGAGAAGATAGAGTTTCTTGGTGAAACTTTGATGATACCTCCGACCTCTGCAAACAAGCCTAGAACGATCAGCCAAGATCGCATCATTCAAGTCAAAGTTCAAGTTACCTTTAGGTGCAACATAACGCTTGTACCAGTCAGAGCCTTCCAACTGGCCCTGCAAATTTAATGCAATATACTCGTCGCGCAACGGTTCATTGTTTCAAAGTGGAGCAATTAAGTGGCCAGAGTATCCGACCATTAAGATGTATATATGAAAACAAACTCGAAAAAAATTACCTCGTCGCTACATAACTGACAATGAGAAATCACAATTCATTTGATGACGGCACTGAATTTTACCGTGGTCGCATTCGCTTTGAGATTTTGTTTTACCATTCGTAAATCGAATAAAACTATCAATTAAATAGGGTAAATGGAATCGAAACAATGTTCGTTCA